GAGAGAGAGAGAGAGGGAGAGAGAGAGAGAGAGAGAGAGAGAGAGAGAGAGAGACTCTTTGTTCCCCAGAAATTTTAAAGGACCAGGCGCTTTAAAAAAAATAACCAATCACCTTCCCAAGATTTCCCCGGCTTCTGATGGGTCCACCTCCTAGCCAATGATCCCTTTCCCAGGTTAGACTGACCGGTGTCTATGGTCAAGTACCTCCCCACTGTGCCATTTTGACTGCTATTGCACTGATCCTTATCTCCCCCTGCTCTCTCACCCCCCCTTACCCCCCCACACACACCCTCCCACCCCCAATCTTTAGTACCAGAGCAGGGCAGGGAAGGGTGTTAATCCTTGTCCGGGCAATTCTGTGATTCCCTGTAGTATGTGTGAAGCTAGTGAAGCTATAGCTTCCTGATGAAGCAAACAGGCTAAATGTCCACTTCAGCTCTCCAGCCCATTAGGCTGAACAATGCCCAATTCTCTTTGCTTTCTTCCTTAATTAATATGTAGGCTAACAAGACCAATTTGGTTTTCTTTGTGCTTCTCCAATAGTCAAATAAAATTGATGGTACAAGAACATGCATCCCTGAGACAGCATAAAACCTGGGTCCCGGGTTCCAAGGACACTGGATAAGAAAAAAAAAAATTACAGAGCTGGCGCCACCCTGCCACCCCTGGTTGGGATCCCAGAGACTCCAGATAGCCCGAAAACAAACAAACAAACAAACAAACAAATAAACAAAACACCAGGTAAGTCCACCATAAAAATATAATCAGCCCTCCACTCCCTATGAAAAATGTCTTATCTCTTCTACTTGCTTTCTGAACACCCCCCACCCCCACCACCCCAAACAGTTGAATAGCAGCGCAGGCTCAGAGATCAGGAGCCCTCCCACCTCCCTCGTCAATAAAAGCCTTTCCCTCAAGCCCTTTGGGGAGCAGACCCATCCCTCTTTTCTGTCTGGGTGCAGGCTACCTTGTGCACAAGTTCAAGTCTTTGTCTGAACTTTTTCTTTTTTTCTGGCGAACTCCCTTGATTTCTAACGTGGAGGATCACAAGAACCCAGGTCACAGGTAACACCCCTAGTATCATTGTATTCCAGGTGAAGAAAGTGAGGTAACTCTTCCAATTTTACCTATGGCCTTACACACGCTATGGCCATCTTCAGAGTCACCACTACCGTCCCCAACACACACATTGACGCTCTTGACAGCCCGCCCCCTTCAGCCCCATTCTGAGCTCCGGGATTACATTCCCTGGTGTGACTTGGATCTGAGTCTTTCAGGTTTCCACTCCCTGAACAGTGAAGGTTCCCCACCTGATGAAGGCCAAAATGGCTATTTAGTTAGACCCTAGTATTCGCAGAGTGGGTTTGCAAGTCCTAGAAGAGGGACAGCCCCACTCGTCCCCGTGGGAAAGCTCAATGCAGAAAGTCATCTGTGACAATCTTCTACTTGGGCGGTGTACTGGGCTACATATCAGGGCACACTGTGCTGTCTGTTCCTGGAACAGACAGATAGGAAGGTACTGACATCAGGTCAGGCCTTGAGATATGGTCTCATGGTCCCTCCTCAATGTATACTGTGCTCTCTGTTTCCGGAAAACATAGATAGGAAGGTGCTAATGCTGTGCTGTGTCGGGAACAAATTGCGTAAGCATGGCTTTGTAACTTTGTAGTTTTTGCAAATAAATTGCCATAACTCTTGCAGTCAGGTGCTGCAGTTCGAAGCAAAGGCTGAACTGCAGACAGCTGGCCAGCTTAATAAAGGTTCCTAAATTTAAATTCTGAGTTGGTGGTCTATCTCGCTGAGTCAACCCATAACAGGCGGGAGCCTCACCCTTTCTGGTTCAAGACTACGTTTCCCAGAAGTACTTGCGGCTCTAATCAAATTCCAGCGAGAACTGGGCTACTTTTTCTATTTCTCAAGGAACATATGACTCCCTGCGATTGGCCGGGTGTATGGAAGAAACTGGTCTCCAGGGTATGAGATCTACCTGATGTGGGAGCGCATTCTGAGCCTGCGTCTAGATCTCAAAGACTCATGGCAGAGCTGTCGGCGTAGCCTAGAGTATGCGATAGCGGGGAAACCCGAGAGACGGGCGCCATCTTGACCAAACGGATCCGGGTCGGTACTACGTTTCCCAGAGGCCCCCGCGGGAACAGGTCCACCTCTACACTAGCCTGTGGAACCCTGGGCCTCCCAGGAAGGTGGAGTGCCAGGTGAACGGCCTTGGTCTTGCGAGCTTGACCAGGTTTCTCAGGTGCGTCCCTGATGGAGTCTCGGGCCTGTGTGAGTTGGTCGGGCTGGGGAGAAGTGTGAGATTCCATCTGTACGATTGTGACCTTATGTGACTGTACGGCGTTGTGCGTGTGGGTGTGATTGTATGCCTCATGGTGGGTGTGTCATTATGACTGATTATGCGCGGAGTTCTGTGTGCAGGTGTCACTGTGGATATTCTCGTTGTAGGTGTGTGATTGTGACAGTATGCGGCACTGTGTGTGTAGGTGTGACTGTTTACCCTTGGTCGACTGTGATTGTGTGTGTGTTCGTATAACTTTTTGTTTTGTTTTAGATATATTTTTATTGATTTCAGGGAGGAAGGGGGAGGGAGAGAGAGATAGAAACATAAGTGATGAGAGAGAATCATTGATCGCTGCCTCCTGCACGCCCCACACTGGGACCGAGCCCACAACCCGGGCATGAGCCCTGATGGGAATCTAATTGTGACCTCCTGGTTCATAGGTCGAGGGCTCAACCACTGAGCCATGACGGCTGGCTGGGATATTCGTATAAGGGTGTGTGTGTGTGTGTGTGTGTGTGTGTGTGTGTGTGTGGCGGCGGAGTGTAAAGAATCTGTGAGTATGTGGCTATGACTGTTATCTGAGGGCTGAGTGTTTGTGATTGAGGTTGTATAAATGTTAGCAGCAGTAAGTGTACTGGATGCCTGTGACTGAGGATGTGTGAGTGTGATCATGTAACTGTGGCATTCTTTGTGCAGTTGGAGGGTGCCTGTAATTGTGCCAGGGTGGACAGTGTGTTGATGTGTGAGGTTAGGACAAATTTTGGTGTTGGACAACAGACTTTTCCCCTTTTCATACCTGAAATGCTAAAGATATCCCAGATTCCTCTGGTCTCTTCCATGGGTGGTTGGTGTGGGTCCAAAGCTACCTCTGATCTGATGAGCCTGGGCCACAAGGAAAACCTGGCATCTCTGATTTCTTTCTCTTTCCTCAGCTCTTCTTCTCAAGAGGTCCTCAGAAGAAGGAGGAATGGCTGTGGACCAAGCCAAATGCAAGGTGCTCTGGTGGCTTCCTTTATGCTCTCTTTCTCCTGGATTGTATTGTTTAACATAGACTCATTAAATATCCTCTTCCTACAACTTTTCATTCAAGAAAATAATGGGAAGCCCTGGGGATGGGCACACAGATCCCAGTATACATACATCCTCATTTCCTTCTTTGTGATGTTCATATATTAATTTAGAAAATAGCTCAGTTACTCCTGTGTGCTAAATTTTCCCTTTTTAAATACACACACAAAACATGCCATGGTTATTTTAAAGAATTTGGAAAATAGGAAGTTACAAAGAGTATAGCCAGTCAATGTTTTGATTTATTTCCTTCTAATACATTTCCTATGCATGTATAGTATACATTATTTCAAGATTGGAATCTTACAGCACTTACAATTTCATAGTTTATGTTTTCACTAAAATTATCTGTAGCTATTATTTAGTTTCTTTTTCATTCTTAAAAAAAATTCCTGAATACTACATATATAAACAAAAGTGCTTAAAATATAAGTTTAAGAAGTAACTGTAAAGGGAAACTGTTTAACAAAAACTTGCATTAGCACTCCAGAAACCCCAGTTAATCCTACCCACAGAGAAAAAAACTAATCCTTATCCTGACTTTAAGGTGGTAATTTGTTGTTTTATTTACCATACATTGACACATCCCTAAAAAATATAGTTTAGTTTTGACATTTAACTTTGTAGAAATGAAATTGTGCTGTGTAATGTTGTTTTGAGTCTTGATTTTCTTACATAATACTATATTTCTTTAGGATCACTCTTGTGAATTGTTTAATAAAATTACCTACAGCTTGGTTAGTGAGTGGATGAGACAAGTTTTTGGCTCCTTTGAAAGAACTGCTCTGAACATATATTTATAAGTATCTTGGTGCACACATGGATGCTTTCCTAGGGCATAAACATATCAATGGAATTGCCAGGATTTACAATATGTGTGCATCTTTAAATTTCCTAGATATTGCCAAATTATTTTTCAAAATGCTTGTATGAGTTAAATTCCTACAGCAGTTTGTAAACATAGTCATCCTGTATTCTCTCCGATACTTGGTTACTTGGTATTTTAATTTTGATGAGTCTGCAGATATAATGGTATATATATATATATAGTTTTAAAAGGATAACATACATTCCTCAAAGTACAGAACTTAAAATATATGTCTGATGAATATTATAAAAGGAGTATATTCATTTAACTAGAGCTCAAATCAGATCAGGAGATAGAATATTACTAGCATTTCCAGAATACTGATTCTTGTCCCATGTACTCACTACCCATCTCCCAAAGATAACCATTATTCTGTCTTCTATAGCCATAGATTATTTTTACATATCCTTGAATTTTATATAAATAGAATCATACAATATCTCCTCTTTTATGCTTGACTTCTTTTGTTTGACATTAAATTTCACTTGTAGCATGAATGTACTATGTGATATTATGTAGTATGAATATGTGAAATTCATCTATGTTCCTTCACCTAGTTGTAGGTGATTTATTATTATTATTGTTTAAAATTCCCTTCAGTGAACATACCACATTCTTTTATTCATTCCATTATTGATTGGCATTTGGGTTGTTTTCAGATTGGGGCTATTATGATAAAGGCTGATGTGAACATACTTGTACATGTCTTTTGGTGCACATATGAATGCATTTTTATTAGGTATGTCCCTGTGTCATAGTTTAGGCATATATCAGCTTTAATATAATACTAACAGTTTTCCTTAATAGTTATATATCAATTTATACTACTGACTTCATTGTATGAGAATAAACTTTGTAACAGGAGGCTTTATTAGAGATACAGAACGATAGTTAACAATGTAAAGGTTAGTCCACCAGCAAGATATTACAGTTCTAAATGTGTATTCCCTCATAAAATGACTTCAAATATATTTGACAGAACTAACTAAAAGAAGTAGCAGACAAGTCACAATTGTAGTGGGGGATTTTTAGCACTTTTATCAATAGCTGATAAAACAACCAATAAATACCCCATAAAGTATATAATATTTGAACAATGTGATTGACAAATGACCTAATTGATATACATAGGACAGTGTTCTTTACAGCTACAGTATATATTACTTTCAGATGCATATGAAGCAGTTATCTAAATTGATTATATTCTGGATCATAAAGGGAATTGCAGTATATTTCAGAGGAGTGAAATAATGTTGTATGTTTTCTGACCACAGTGGAATTCAGCTAGAAGTCAATAACAAAAACATAATTAGAAAATTCCATATTTGGGATTTAAGCAATGTTTTGTAAATAACTGGTGAATCAAAGAAGAAGTTGCAATAGAAATTAAAAATATTTTTAAGTGTATGATAATATAAAAATGTGTAGTGTTGCTGAAGCTGAAGAAAATATGTAGCCATAAATGCATATGCTAGTAAAGAAGAATGCTAAAAAATTAATGATCTATATATTCATCTCAAGAAGTTAAGAAAAAAATATACTGAAACGGAAAGAAAGCCTAAAATAGGAAATAATAAGAATAAGAGCTCAAATATAAATTTATATATATTAGAACATAAAGTGAATGTACAATCACTCTGGCTGGTGTGGCTCAGTTGGTTAGAGCATCGTCCCATACACTTAATGGTTGTGGGTTTGATTCCCGGTCTGGGCACATACCTAGGTTGCAGGTTCTGTCCCTGGCAACCAATCAATGTTTCTCTCTCTCCATGAATAAATAATAGATAGATAGATAGATAGATAGATAGATAGATAGAAAAAATAAGTAAATAAAGAAATAATGAATGTACAATAGAGAACATTAACAAAGCCAGAGGTTTATTTTGGGGATTAATAAATTGATAAACTTCTAGCAAAATTTAAAAAATAAAAAAAAGGAGGTAGGACACAAATACCAAATCAGATTTGAGAGAAAAAAAAAAGACTAATTTTAAGGCTGAGTTTTTAGTTAATTCTTGTTTGGTACCTGAGACTTGGATGCACAGTAAAAGATCATTAAACCTGAACCAGTGACCATTACACTCAGTCCCTTTTTATACTTCATTGGATATGTAAATTCATTTTTTAATACAGATTTTTAGTTTTGTAACTCATTTTCTTTATTGGACATTGTGTGTGCTTTAAGTTTTACATGGCCTGCAGTATCATTACAACTTACCATGCTATCATGATGGATTTAATATGTTAACAAAATGTTCATTTCCTAGGTGATAATGGGTTGAGTATGCAATGAATTCTTTGGGACATTCAACTTATTTATTATTTTATCATACCCTATCTCTAGTGGATTTGTGTCTGCTGGTTCTGACTAATGTGGAATACCTTTCCTATCTTGGGTTATTATGTGAGGCCGAGTTGTGATAGTCCTTCCCTGGTTTTGATTTAGTGGTCCCTTTTTTCTGAGGCTGGCTTTTTCAAAGTTCCCAGAGTTTATACTGTTCAGACTGTACAGATGGAAACAAGCACATTAATTAGGTCATATACAAATAATAGGATGAGAAAATATAAATAATAGGACAAGAAAAAATAAATATATAATCACTGACTAATTATGGCAAGGAAAAAAACTATTTTTATTCACCCTCTCTTTTGTATACTTCATGCTTTTTTTCATGCTTCATGTTATTATGGGCTTAAAGCATTTTTTGATGTTTTAACTTACTGATGGTTGTCATATTTCATCATAGTAAAAGGAGGAGTGGCAAGAGAATTATAGTATGCCATTACATAAATTTTTATTACATAGCCAATGACAGCCCCTTTAAGGAGAGTCTTTTATTAAAAATATATTTTTATTGATTTCAGAGAGAAAGGGAGAGGGAGAGAGATAGAAACATCAGTGATGAGAGAGAATCATTGATCGGCTGCCTCCTGCACGCCGCCTATGGGGGATTGAGCCCACAACCCCTGGCACGAACCCTTGACTGTAATCAAACCCAGGACAATTTAGTCCACAGGCCAATGCTCTATCCACTGAGCGAAACCAGCCAGGGCAAGGAGAGTCTTAAAAGGAATCTTTTCAGCACAGCACCTGTGATACTTTTAGAAACAACCTCACCTGTTGACAACAGCAGAAGGTTCCAGATCTAACAAAAATTTTTTTTCTGATGTAAGACTTGGAGTCAGCTATTATCCAGGAACTCCTTTTTTAAATTTACTTTGTCTTCACTTCTCTTTTTTCCTTCTTGGAATTGAATAAAAGACCAAAAATGGGAGACTTATGTTATACCTGACAGTTTATGTTGGGTAAAAGTGGTACTGTTATTGGTCTATTTTAAGTGGTGCCAGAGCTCAAAAGAGTTCTTTTTAAGGTTTTGTGTTCACATGAACTTTTCTCTAGTTTTCTTATGGCAAGTGATTTTTTCCAGCTTTCAAAATTTTGTCATACTTTGGTAGATTATTGGGGAATTAATTGAGGAAGTAATTAAATCTGAGGCATTTCCACAATAAATATGTATTATGGAATAACAAGCAAAATTTGCTGTTTTAAAAATAATAAGACTTGCCCTAACCGGTTTGGCTCAGTGGATAGAGCGTCGGCCTGCGGACTGAAAGGTCCCAGGTTCGATTCCGGTCAAGGGCATGTACTTTGGTTGCGGGCACATCCCCAGTAGGGGATGTGCAGGAGGCAGCTAGTCGATGTTTCTCTCTCATCGATGTTTCTAACTCTCTATCCCTCTCCCTTCCTCTCTGTAAAAAATCAATAAAATATATTTAAAAAAATAATAATAAGACTTAAAAGAAATTTCACACTCAGGTGGGCACCTCTTTCCTCAGGAAAGATATAACAGCTATCTGAAGCTATTAAATATTAGCTTCATTATACACTAATTGAACACTCCAGTGTCTATGATTTCACTTTCCTTTTGACTCTATTAACCTAAAAGTTATCAGGCACAAGGGTAGGAAAGTTAGAATACAGATAGTGTTTGAAAAACAAGCACATAGTGTTTTGAGCAGGCTTACTCTGAATTAAATTTGTATGATGTAGATAAAAA